AAGAAAAATGTATGGTAATTACAACCACATACCATTCAGAATCATAAGCAAAAGAGAAAATATCAAAGTTGCATGCAATCTAAAATCATAACTATATTTTTTTAATCACGTGCATGAGAAAAAAGATTACAGGGAAACATACCACAGTGTTAATTGTGTTAAGATCATGGGTACTTTTTTTTCTCTTGCCTTTTTCCCAAATTTTCATAGTGGCAAAAAATTATAATAAGAAAAGCTCCCCCAGAAGAATCTTTAAAAGTATGATTCTTTTAATTATTTTCAAACCATTTTCACATCCATTATCTCATTTGATTCTTACAACCCTTTAGGTAGAGTTAATGTTAAGTCGTTCCATTTTACAGACTGGAAAACTGAGATAATGTGTTTATGACTTGCATTAAGTCACTCCGTTGGCTGGAAGTGAATCTGTGTGTGAGTCCTGGGTCTCCTGAGTCCTGCTAATCCCCTGACCTCCAGGACTTCTTCTGAGATTTTGGGGGCTTCATGATTCACTCTCTCAAACGGGAATAGCTGCTACCTGAGTTTCGGCCCTGTGGACCAAGGTAGGGGTCTATGGCTGTTGATGATAGACTTCACAAAAGAAGTCCCCAAAGACGCAATCCATGCCTGGAGTGCTCTGCTACCCTCCTCTCTGGCAAGACACCAAGTGAAAATTCGTGGAAATGTTACAGGGGGTGCTGGGAAGGACAGGCTGTGATTGAGAATCAAGTCCGACATTTCTTAACTCTAGTTTTTGGAGGGGAAGGAAGATTTCAGAAATGGGTCTGTCCTTGTGCTATTCAATGCCCTACCTCTGATGACTTCTCTCTCCCCAGCTCTCCCAGGGGAAGTTGCTAGGGGCTCACAGGGTGGCTTTGGTAGAGGGTCCCCCATTCAGGACCATCAGAGTTCAGCCCAGGGCCCCTCACTTAGGAAAGAGAGTCTTAGAAAGGGGAAGTGCTTTGCCCAAGAATACCAAAGGCAGAACCAGACCAGAACCCCAGTCCCCTGCTCCCATCCCAGGGTACTTTGCAGGGCCATCAGTCAACACCACACTGAGGAATGCCCCGGGTGTGGGGCAGAGTCACCGTGCTGGAGAACGAGGACTGCTCTTATGGGTTTCTGCCTGGTTTCTTATCCCCGCTCCCCTCCTGACTGTCATTCCTGGGTATTGTTTGACTTCATCCACAACTATCTGCCACTGACAAGGGGGACCGAGTGAGCTCCTGCAGAGATTCGGGGGTACACCAGAAAGCCCTCCCTGATTCACAAGTACTGATATCACTACCGAGGGTCAACTGTGTGCCCCATCCTCAATAAATCATCACAACAACCTTATGTGTTAGATGCTACGATTACTGCCATTTTTCAGGTGAGGAAATGACTTACCTAAGATGACACAGCCACTAAGTGCTGAAAGTAGAATCGAAGTGCCTTCCTCTCTTTGGAAGCTATTGTGTGATGCTGTCCTCATTTCCTGGGGATGCCCATTTTGGAGATTATTAAATTAGTGACTCCTGCATTCAAACTGTCTTTGTAGAAAATATGGGCTTTGGAAACAGAATAAAGAACAAGAAAAGCCACCTCACTCCTTTCTCAAGGCAGAGAAGTAGGTTGAGCCAGGCAGAGAGTGCCGCTAGTACCCTGCTGCCTCCCTGGCTGATTTTAACTTGTGTTTAACTTGTGTTTCTAGAGCTCTGTGAGCAAATACAGTCCTGGGGTTTGGAGAACAGAGTAATGAGGCAGAGGAATGTGGGAAGGGACTGTGCGCTGAGCTAAGAAATTGCTAAAACCTTTAAATATCTCTTGAACTTTTTTTTTCTTTCTTTTTTGCTTTTGGCTCCCTGCAATGTTTTTCTGTTTAGGTTTGGTTGCCACGAGTGGGCTGTTTTTAGCTGCCTGGTTCCTTCCCCTCCCCTTTTAATATTTTTCCCTTCCTTTTGCACATGCCCCAGCATGAAGTCGCCAGTTCTTATCTCACTCGGCAAAACATACCAAGGCTGATCTGAATGCGGATTCTCCAGGCGGTTCCCCAGCGTAAAACCTCAGCAATATTCGAATCTCTGCTTAACCCTCTTTCATTGAGGATTAATCCCTGAAATAACCCTAGCCAGGGCTTCCTTCTGAGCCTAGAGAGGCATTCTTTGCTTTGTGTACAGAAGCATTTTGGGGTGGGGGGCTTTTCGAGCCCCTCCTCTACACGGCACTGCCTGTGTGTGTGATGACAGTGTGCACACTCAACACTGGTGGCATTAACTTAAGTCAGGGTAAAATGAGGAGGCACAGGGCTTAGATACTGATCATCCTCCTGTGGCACAGACCTTGGGGGCTCTTCCCTTCTACTGACCTTTCCCAGTTTTCACTTCATCGGACGCTTCACAGTTTTCCTGGGGGCTGAGGGGGAGGGAGCCAGGAAGGAGCAGTTTTTGTTTTACTTGGGTAAGAGTTTCATTCAAGTGGGGCTGGACTTAACTTCTCCGTCAAGATTCTTATCGCTTTTAGGGTTTCAGGAGAAGGGCAGGTCGAGGCTGCCAGGCTCGGACTTCTGTGAACAGCTGACAGCATTTCTATCCAGGTGTGACTGAGACATTCAAAAGTGAGAATTATTAGAATGAAACAAGATTGATAAGAGGAACTGCAGGCACAATGGTAACAAAAAGAAACCGCCAACGTGTTGTAGACTTGTCCTGCTGGAATCAGCCTTCTCTTGCATTGTTTTGTGAACGCTGGTCTGGCTGTTTGCTCACTGGCTGCCTTAAGTTGAATTTCCCCTGAAGGACCCCGTATCTGGCTTGGGTGTGTTAATGGAATCATAGTTTAACCTGGAAACTGGTTAACGATTTCTGTAGGCGTTTTGTAGCCGAAAAAAAGTAAAAAGCTTCATGTGTTCTCCCTCATCTCCTTGTTTCACTTTATAATGGTGCTATTTATTCCAGGACCGTCTATATACAAGTAGATACAATAGATCAGTAGAGATTCCAAAGAACTTTCATTTAGATGCGCAAGCGCTCTTAACGTCTCTTCTCGCCCTGCGCTCTGGGGCTGTGCAGACACGCCCGGGGTTTGCCTGCCCGCACTTCGGTGGGAGGGCGGGGTGTGGAGGTGTGGAGCGGGTGTGAGGAGGTGTGGGCGTGGGACGTGGAGGATGGGGCCAGGAGAGCCGTTACCAGGGCGAAAAGTAAAGCCAAAACACACGCCCTACGCTTCCCGCGCGACGCCGATGGAAATCCGGTCAGGTCCAAAGCAAGATCTCTGAGGTTCCCGCATGGAATCCCAGGGCTCCGGGACCTGCCAGGGTGGGAGGACTTCCGAGGTCGCCCTGCGTGTTGTCCCAGGCCCCTAGGGGAGGAGGGTGCGCCGAGTGAGGCTCGGGCTTGGGCGCAAGGAACCCGGCTGCGAGGGACTCGATTTTATCCGCAGCTCTGAGGGTGTCTGCCCCAGGCTGCTCCGCAATCAGCAGGGATAGGGCTAGGGACAGGGATGCCGCACCGTGTGTGTGTGTGTGTGTGTGTGTGTGTGTGTGTGTGAGAGAGAGAGAGAGAGACAGAGACAGAGAGAGAGACAGAGAGAGACAGAGAGAGAGACAGAGAGAGACAGAGAGAGAGAGATTGACAGCGACTCAGGCTCGGAATTACCAAACCATGACCTTCGATCGCCTCTCTCCGAAGAGGCAGGTGGAAGCAGGTGTTTCTGTCCTTGGCCGTGCTCCCACACCCGGCGGGAGCGCGCAGGTGTCCCTCCCAGGCAGGCGCGAAAGTCCCAGGCCACAGTGGTGTCCACAAACAGTCGTCCACGGGCAGTTGGGAAGGTCCCTGGTTCTACCGCTCTGAGCAGAGACGGTGGGGTGGGGGTGGGGGGAATCAGAACCGGTAAACAGCAATAGCTTTAAGGTTCGAACCAAGTTCTGCCGAGACCTTGGCTCGAATCTCAGGCCACGGGACCCCACATTTCCCGCGACTCCAGCTTGAGGGCGGAGGGGATTTCTGCTGGGGGGCTCCATTCCGGCTGTGGTCAGTGTGTCCCCATTCTGGGCCGTCCGGTGCCAGCCCAATCCGCTCTGGGCGCAGAAAAACACGTGGAAGTTGAAGATGGGCTTTCCCTAAATACTGCGAGAGCGCGCGGCCACCCCCTGCCTGGCGCGGCCGGCGGAGACCAAAGCGCCTTCTCTTTCCCCCCGTCGCCGGCCGCCCAGCTTCAGCCTCCTCCTACCCTGCCTCTGGTTGCCTCTGATTTCTTTAGGTCTCTCATCTTTCCACGCTCCGGCTGATTTCACTGAGAATCAATCTCCCCGTCAATTCCAAACGCTTAGTGATTGTTAAAAAATCCGAATCGATACCGTTCTACCACTCGCCCTCGCCTCGGAGCGGGCTCCCGACCGGCCCGGGGGCGTTCCTGCGTGTGCGCGCGTGTGGGGCGTGCGGGGCTGCGGGCTGGGCTCACGGGGCCGGTCGAGCGCTGCCCTCCGCGCTTGGGTTAACAGGCCGGCCGGCGCCTCGCCGCGGAGGTCACACCCGGCGGGTAACGGCGTGGACACACGGAAGGGTGACTTTGGGCACCTCTCCCACGCCAGAGACTAACGCTTCTCCCCCTGCTCTGTCCCCTGCTTGAGAAGCAAGAGGCTGGCGGGGGAGGGGCATTTTCCTGAAGGTCCAGAAAATGACCACGCGTTTTAGAGAAAGGTCGTGCGGGTTTCCTAGCCTCACCTAGTCTGGGCCGCAGCCGGGCCCCGCCTCCCCACCTTCCCCGCCCCCCTCCAACCTAGCGGAGGGAGAGATGCCAGCGCGGTGGAGTCATGCCGCTGGCTTGGGCACCATTGGTCATGCCTGGAACACGCAGCGGCGAATACGCACATCTGGCAGCTCGCCCGGGCGGCTCCGATCCTGATATGGAGAGAGAGGGCGGGCGGGTGTGTATCCGAGCGCGCCAGGCCAGGAGGACGCG